TTTTTTAACGGTTTCGCGTGAATATTGAATGAATTTTATTTGTATCGGCAAAATTGTGAAATACTGCATTCTGTCCGAGGTCTCTATGATAAAAACAGCGCCTTATGGTACTGTTTCACCTCAGATGTGATGTATAAAAAGTATAAAAGGTCGGTTTACACGTCCCCAGACTTGTTGGCAAGATTTTGTAAAGTAAACTTGTCGAACACAAAAAATTTGGCCTGATTTGTTTTCCAGGCCTAATCTACTGTGATCAAGGGCCATTATGGCTATGCTATTTTTTGGGTGTACATATAAGGCTATCAACTCGATCCAAGATTAAGTTCACTCTTTGCTTGGACTGTTTGCAAATTATTTTTCTCTAAAATAACTTAGCCTTTCCCTTAAAAAGTCACATGAATTTGCTCTAAAGTTAACTGATTTGTGGAATACATGTACAAGTTTATTGTTTGATTTAAATTATAAATTCGAGTTAATAGGAGCTTCGCTTTTAGCCCAGCTGGCTAAATCTATATGTTATGTATAGTACCTGGGCCTGCCAATGTACAAAGTATAAGCGAAATCAAATTTGTGTCCGGCCGATCTTTGATTCTTCCTGACATAGATCTACTCTTAAGAACCCTGACATTCTTTCTTCCTTCTGCGTTCAGTTTAATTTGAACGAGCCCTAAAAAATCCGATAAGGGAACGGTTTTCTTTTTCAAACGGTCTCCAGTATGGCAGGCCATCTTTTCTCAGTGTTAGCAAAACTGCGCTTTCTGGTGTCTGTTGATTGGCGAGCTAGGCTGAACTACTCTGCAATTGCACATCAACGTAATAAAAATAATTGTAGTTAGGAAAAAAGAACTTAACTCCGTTTACACGATGATCGCCATTTCTGTGAAGACAGAATCGGGGGGGAAGGGAGGGGGGATGGGAAGAAAACACAAATATCATGATTCTATATTATGAGACCTCAAATGTAATATTTAATAAACAGACTGAAGACATTTATCAGGTGTAGTATCAGCAAGTTAATTTCCCTCTTGATAAAACCCAAATTAAATGTCACATTTTTTTAGCGACTTAAACAAAAATAATGAGGATTTGTTTGTACAGTTAAAGTTAAGACCATTCTTGCTAGGTTTTGAATGATTTTAGGAGAAAAATAGAAGGTTTAACCCTGTTGAGTCTAAAGTATAACCGTTAACGGACGCACTTTTTAAACAAAGTCATTCGATCACATTCCGGCGGTATGTCGTCAGAATACTTTATGTTTATTTTTGAGAAAAACCAATTGGGGCTAACGTGCTCTCCTACAAGTATAGAAGTGGTCCTAGCTTACTATTTCGCCCAAGTAACCTAAACTAGGGGTACCTTCCGGCAAGTGCAAACGAGGCGAATTCGTTTATCTTTTGTGGAATCTGCCTATCCAGATCTTCGCGATTTGTCACATAATTTTGGAGGCTTACAATGGATTTCGCTGTAGAAAAGGATGGCACTCAACTAAAGAAAAAAACTTCGGTACATTCTAGGCTTTCCCTTCTATTAAAAAATAACAACATACAGGCTTGAAGCTTTGTTGGTAAATTGGAGCAAGTTAGCACTATTCAAAACCATAAACGTTAGAAATTAAAATATAGTTCAAGTGAGGCCGGGCTTTGACTGCTTAAATTGAAAAATTAATATTAAATTTCGAGCCTGCACCGATCATCGTCATCAGCAGGGATAAGAAAAATATTCCTCATGGTAATGTACAAAGAAAACAATTGGTGTAAGCAAAATGTGGGAAAAGCGCAAGAATGGGGCGGAATGTATCAAAGGTATAAAAAAATAAAAACTTTAATAAAATACAAAGACTAATGATCAAGTGGCACGGGACAAAGAGTCTTTCTAAAGGCAAAATGATTCATAATGATGGTCTTTAAAACAAAAGGTCTGCAAATTCTTGCATTCTTCATGGGAGTTTAGGGCTGTCTTTAATGTAAATCGAGCTGCAAAAGGACACGAGCTGATTGGCAAAATGTCTCCAAAGGCAAAAATAACTTTTAAAAAACAAAAGGTCCTCAAATGCGTTGCATTCCTCACAGGAGGTGAGGACCGGCTCGATGTAAATCGAACTGCGAAGAACACGCTGGCTCTGACAAACGTTTTGAGAATACAACCCTGTTCCTTGATTAGCTACCGTATAAAATTCATTTTACAAAGGAAAAGATAACACTGAGAACCCTGGTTCTGAGTCGAGAAACGAACAAGCTACATCAATGTAAATAGAACTGGAAGAACAAGCTGGTTCTGACAAAAATGGAACGTAAAGCCCTATTCCATGATCAGCTGCTGCTTTAAACTCAATTTATGAAGCAAACCAGATCACTAATAGCCCTTTCAAATCTAGAAATCGTATTAAAGCTTGCTCACCTGTTAGGGCCTCTTGAACAGAAAACAAGCAGCTGTAGAAGGGATCACCCAAGTTTCGAACCACGGAGTTGAAATTTCACGCCTTTTACCATTTCATTAATTAAGAAACTCCGCTGGTGATGAAAAACATTCCACACACATAAAGCATCTATTTCGCGCGTTTACAAATATCTTCTTTCGAAACAGCGATTTAAAACAGTTTTTGGGCCATTCCTCCAAATAAAACCGGCAAACATGTACAGGTGAAACATTTTCCCAATCGAAGCGCTAAGCATGCTCGCCTCACCACAGACTTAAACGGGAAACCTCCCGATAAAAAGCCAGGTATTTCTGACAGGTAGGGGTTTTGGGCTTTGGTGTGGAATCGGGTATGGTTTTCGAGGGAACTACGGGAGCTTACATGAATGGACGTATTTTTCGTTTCAGTTCCAGATGAATGACAACGAAATAGAAATGTGCGAATTCGAAATGCATTTGGAGAATTTTTTGTTTTCGCTCTAACTTGGTAAAAAGGCGCATGGCTGCTACAGCAATAAGTAACGACAGGGACCAACAAATGCCCGGCCACTCTTTATCATCAGCAAGTTGTCAAAGAAGATATGACCAATGTGGCAACAGGAAGGCGTTAAGCTAAGGTTTGTGCTAAGAAGCACACTAACCCACCGGTAGAAAAAAGCATGTTTCTGTTTCTCTGCGTGGTTTGCTGTCTTTATTTTCGAAATACCCGTGGTCATATGCATTTTTCACGTCAAAATCGGCGGAATTTGGCGAAGTGTTATCTCGAGTAGGACATTTTACATTGGCGTACACCGACGTACGAGGGTAAATTGACGTTATAACCAATGAAAGAAAAATGGTAAACATTGCAGCCGTGCAGCAATCGAGCTATGGATGCACGCGGGAGGTTGCCAAGCACGAGAAAAGCGTTATGTTGATTGTAAAAAACCGTTTACGTTAGCTGAAACGGCGTTCTAAACTCTTTCCTAGTACTAACACAAAAACACCAATATAATGCGAATTATTTATCCAAATTTAATGATAAAAATGCTTTCAGGAGATAAAAAAAAATGTATATATTTTTTCCAGATTTTACTAGCTGATTGCATAGGCGTATGTGCGTACACGCACGCTACATTCCTGGTTGGAGAAATTAACCGAGCTGGGCCAAGCTTTACACGGGGTAACATTTTGTTGTTGACAAAGAACCGCCGAAGCAATTTTTTTGTCTACTTTTGAAGGAAACGTGGATTTGTTTCAATCATAACATAGTTTGACAACTTTAACACAGAAGGCCCACTGATCGAAGCTAGACGTAAAGCTCACAATAAACCCATTAATACTGTTACGAGACTTCTCTCCCTGGGAATGAAGAAAAACAATATGGCCGCCCAATACATACTTTTAGTTTTTAAAGTTCTCCCGTTAATAACAAACGTTGAACATTTATTTCGGCAAACAAACAGTTACGTTGAAAAAGGATTTTACAAAAGTCTCAAGAGTAGGTCTCCTTTTCGATTTAAACTTGCAATATCGGTCAATTTACGTAACTTTTAAGCTTCTGGCTCAGTTTTCGTTTGGTTCTGCTTTGAATTTGAATAATAATTACTCAGAGATAATACAGTGTAAAGAATTGTTGAGGAAAAAATAACTTGCCAATTTATGACAAAAAGGCACTTTAAAAACGAACTAAAACATTCAAAACGCTTTGATCACGTGACTGATAACTTCATGTCCCTATTTTGGGCAAGAAAAAATTATCAGTTAGAACATTACCTTCCCGCAAATTTTCTCTGTCGTGTGATTAAAGGTTGACTCTCTACATCCCTCGGCCTAGTCTCCCGACTTTTTCGCTCATGTTTATTACCCCCTTATATTTTAAATGCCGGACGTCAACTGGTTATTTTAAACCCCCCACCCCTTAACTAAAACCTCAATTCTGCTATTTGTTTTTAACTCGTTAACAAAATCTTGTCACAGCAGCAAACAAACCTAATTCGGAATAGTCACGTGACTGAGGACGTTATTACCTTAGATGTGATGTGGGAGGATATTTCATGGCAAATGTTTTCTTCTTGTGGACTGACATTCTTCTACGTATAGAATTGTCAAAGTTGTAAAGCTTTTAAGAAAAATTGCCTCAAAGGATTCTGGGATAATTTTTTTAATGATAATTACAATTTACTTTTATAATTATCATTTATTAGATAAATTCTCAACTACTGTACACACATGAGTAAAACCACAAGACACCTTTTCAATGCTTTATTTAAATCAACAGTACCACCCTAATTTCACAACTACATTTAATTTCGTTACATCAAGTTTTCTGTTCATGGGACACGTCATCTTTTCAGTACCGTTAGGCTGTCAATAACTTAACTTTCAATCAGTTAAGGCTTAGGACGTCCACTGGGCCGGAGCTTTTTGCATATTTTCCGCAGTTTTTTGCAAATCTTTTTCTAAGTGGGAGAGAAGATGAATTGTGTGAATTTTTTAATACCTCTGTGGTAGGATACTTCTAAAACTTTGTTGATTTTTTTTAATCACATGTCATGATTTTCATTGATTGATGCTGGCCGTCTTTATCATTTGACGCTAATTGATCAGTGAATATGAAAAAACTGAGCTATGATTACTTTATTGACAAAAGGGTAATCACTCTTTCAAACGTATAACAACCTACCCCGGCTGAAAAAAATAACTAAAGAGCTAGCTCAGCTGGTGCATGTATTGCATCAAGTCGTATAAAAACAATGTAAGTTGACTACACACTTTTGCTGTAAAACTACGTCTCGACATCAAAGTCTGAGGGTTCAAAATAACGACAAGGAAGATCTTACCTTGATGGGACGTGTGGGACGAGGACCAGTTGGCTTCTTTAAGCATTTCTCAAAATACAGTTTGCACTTTTTAAGAGAAAAGAATTAAACTATGTGAGTTTTATAATAATGGCTCAATGATACGTTACCGTTTATATTAAAACACCGTTTGCTAAGATTTTATTAATGATACCATTCTTTATCACCGTGATGCCAATCACCAGAAAAAAGGGTATGGCTATTTTTTTGACAGAGTTATCGATCTAACATGTTAACCAGATAAAATACGCAATTTCCGGGTTGAGGGAGCGCGATTCTTCCGAAGTTCCCCTCAGCACCTATTTTATAAGGACGTGAAAGGGAGTCTTAAACAAATTAAGTTTGCTACTTTAAGCTGATGGTGCAAATCCCAGTAGTTTGTTTAGGATTGGTGACAAGGTTGAAGATCTTACTGCCCTCGGAGGGCCACTTGGACGGGGACGACGACGGGGGTCATTCTTCTCATCAGCAAGCTCGGCAATGGTTTCATTATCCTCTTCATCTAACAACTCCGCGACTGCCTCATCCTCAAAAGGCTCTTCAGCCAGGGTGGCGACTGCCGCTCCGAGAAACAGGAGAACAAGTAGAGATTTCATTTCCCAACCAAAGTTCACTGCTACATATCCGTTAGCAATGTGACTAACATAGTTCTTCGCGCGGCCCTTTTTACTGGCACGTGACCCTGTTAAACGTTAGGCATATAACAAAAGCGCTGGCAAACACACATTTGCTGATTATTGTTTATTTTCCGTTAGGCGCGAGAGTAATAAACTTAAGAAATGGTAAACGTGCAGCTTGCAACCATGGAGTTATGGATGCACGCGGGAGGTTGCTAAGCACGAAAGAAGCGTAAGAGTCGCACGAGGCGATAGCCTCGTGCGACTCTAGCTTCTTGAGTGCTTAGCAAACCTCCCAAGTGCATCCATAACTCCATGGTTGCACAGCTGCAACGTTTACCATTTCTTTTATAACATAATCAAAAGAGAAAAACATTATTTTCCATTTGCCTTTCGGTTGACTCATCGGTCCGAGTTCATGTATGGTGACATCTGCCCCCGCGTAAACAAATCATGTTCTATGTTTTTCAAAAACTTACCTTTGAGTTTTTCTTTCGCTGAATCAACCGTTCTCCGTCCTCAGGTAAATTGCAAAACGTTTTTCGTTGTTATTCTGAATGGCATCTGTCTACTTGCTCTTAATATGAGGGTAAAAACTTCGAGGGAAAACTATAGCTGCAACTATAAACACACAACTAAAAAGACTCTAAAAAATAAGCTAAAACTAATTAAATGAAATAATTATCAAGCTTATTTATGTGACAATTTTTGAAATAAACGCAAAGTAGAAATGAGAAAATTTGACTGTAATTCCTTTAGAATAACAGGTAACACTAATTTTAAAAAGAAATTAACTAGCTTTGTATCGAAATCTGTCTGGGGAAATCCAGCTATGAAAGTGAAAGTTGAAACTGAAATTCGCCGACACACAGCCGGCGCTGAAGCTGTTGTTTTTCGACCGTTCTCCGAACGACTGTTATGAATGAACACTGAGGAACAAAATAATACACACAGAAGTTATTTTTTGAAAAATTTATTTGAAAACCCAAATGTTTCTGTACTCAAATGAAATTCGCTTATTCCAACGTTATGTGCCCTTTTAAACTCAACTAAAATTTTTAATCGATGCGAAGAAAACTTCACAACAAAGCTGTCTCGAATTTGAGCGTGTTTCCTAAAATATTTGCTGGAATTTAGCATCAGCTTGACCAAAAAGTCAATAACACAATGCTAATTGATAATTTTCCTTTCCAAACAGACTTTCTCTTCTATAAAAAACACACAAAATGTACCTTAAATCTTCGCTCGCTCGATTTTCCTTCAGCAGATTCTAGCCGCGAGGAAAACAGTGATTCATTCATCCAGGGCAAATTTGTCGCTTGATCTTTTGTCTTTTTCCTTCAAAACGACAGCTTAGTATTTTCTTCAACTTCCACTTTTCATCTGTGTATTTTACCGTCAGGAGAGGAGATTTGTTGAATTTGCCTAAATTTTACCGCGCTAGCTCAGTTTCTTAGCGTGCACCCACGGGAAAATGGTAGTGGCTGACTGACCAATCAGAGCGCGCGATTTAGTTTTGTTATGTTATAAATCTTATTGACTCTTATATCAACAGCCGGGATGTTTATCACCTTTTCCTTTGTGAGCAGCGGTGTATTGTGTGCCATGTTTTATCTTTTTCGGTTTTACCCCTTTTGTTCAACCTGGTATTTATTTTGCGCCAAGCTTGACGATAAATATTTTACTTTGCGTTTGGAAGTTACTAAAATATTTACTACAGGTGCATCTTCGCACCCACAACACTCCCAAACGCACACATTCTCCCTAACTTCTATCTTTCGTTCGGGATCCCATACTTTGAACACCCGTAATGCCACAAAGGTTGTTAGATGAATATACTGTTGTTGTTGTTGTTGTTGTTGGTTTTTTTTACAAAGCAAAAAGTGATAACTGCGATGATCATCCTTCATTTAATTTAATTTTATTTCATCTTCTTATATTTGTAAGTCTGTCTTTTATACTGCCATTTCATTTCATTTACTTATAAATTTATCTCTACCCTTTTTTCTATTTTAGCACTTAATTACTTGAGGTAGACATAGAGTTTGCCGGTCCCTCATTATTAGTGCAAATCTTAACATCTAACTTTCTTTTTTTTGCTTTCTATAAATAACGTTTGCAGTTGCAAAAAGAAAGCCTGAAATAAACTCAGGCTTGTACGGGATTCGAACCCTTGACCTCTGCAGTACCGGTGCAGCGCTGTACAAATTAGGGAGTTTAAGATGCCCCTACGGCGACGGCAACGAGAACGTCAAAAAGCAATTGGTTAAGATTAGCAAAACAACAACACGCTATTTTGTACATTTCTTTGCCGTCACTGCACGACTACGACGTGAATTGCCTAATTTCACGTTTTATCGACAACGTGAACATACGACGACGAATCTCTCTTACTCTTTGTATACCTGGATATTTTTCTTAAGAATTCAACTGTGGGAGAGTTCGCTTACATAAAACATAGTGACCGAGCTGGGATAATCGCGCTAAAGTTTCATAGATCGAGGAGTCACTTTTTAAGCGATGTTTTTGCCGCCGTCGCCGTCGTGGTATCTTAAACTCCCTATTAAGCTAACAAGCCAACTGGGAGCAGGGCGTTGAATGGGATCGTTTACTATAAATTATCCTTCATTTAATTCGTCACGCCGCAGTTCATATATATAATTTTCATAATTATATTCAAAACTTCAAAATAAAATTAGTTGAAAAGCTAAAATTGGATTAGAGGTTAAAAGAAGAGGAAGAGAAAAAATTACTTGAGATGTTAGGATAAGTATTAGCAATGAGGGAGCCTTCGCGGAATAGCGCGGAACATCACCGATTCCTCCCTGATTCAGGGTGCCTTTTGTACTTTGAAAGGCGCATGGCTGCTACAGCAATAAGTAACGACAGGGACCAACAAATGCCCGGCCACTGCTTATTATCAGCAAGTTGTCAAAGAAGATATGACTAATGTGGCAACAGGAAGGCGTTAAGCTAAGGTTTGTGCTAAGAAGCACACTAACCCACCGGTAGAAAAAAGTATGTTTCTGTTTCTCTGCGAGGTTTGCTGTCTTCATTTTCGTAATACCCGTGGTCATATGCATTTTTCACGTCAAAATCGGCGGAATTTGGCGAAGTGTTATCTCGAGTAGGACATTTTACATTAGCGTACACCGACGTACGAGGGTAAATTGACGTTATAAACAATGAAAGAAAAATGGTAAACATTGCAGCCGTGCAGCAATCGAGGAATGGATGCCCGCGAGAGGTTGCCAAGCACGAGAAAAGCGTTATGTTGATTGTAAAAAACCGTTTACGTCAGCTGAAACGGCGTTCTAAACTCTTTCTCAGTACTAACACAAAAACACCAATACAATGCGAAATATTTATCAAAATTTAATGATAAAAATGCTTTCAGGAGATAAAAAAAAAATCTATATATTTTTTCCAGATTTTACTAGCTGATTGCATAGGCGTATGTGCGTACACGCACGCTACATTCCTGGTTGGAGAAATTAACCGAGCTGGGCCAAGCTTTACACGGGGTAACATTTTGTTGTTGACAAAGAACCGCCGAAGCAATTTTTTGTCTACTTTTGAAGGAAACGTGGATTTGTTTCAATCATAACATAGTTTGACAACTTTAACACAGAAGGCCCACTGATCGAAGCTAGACGTAAAGCTCACAATAAACCCATTAATACTGTTACGAGACTTCTCTCCCTGGGAATGAAGAAAAACAATATGGCCGCCCAATACATACTTTTAGTTTTTAAAGTTCTCCCGTTAATAACAAACGTTGAACATTTATTTCGGCAAACAAACAGTTACGTTGAAAAAGGATTTTACAAAAGTCTCAAGAGTAGGTCTCCTTTTCGATTTAAACTTGCAATATCGGTCAATTTACGCAACTTTTAAGCTTCTGGCTCAGTTTTCGTTTGGTTCTACTTTGAATTTGAATAATAATTACTCAGAGATAATACAGTGTAAAGAATTGTTGAGGAAAAAATAACTTGCCAATTTATGACAAAAAGGCACTTTAAAAACGAACTAAAACATTCAAAACGCTTTGATCACGTGACTGATAACGTCATGTCCCTATTTTGGGCAAGAAAAAATTATCAGTTAGAACATTACCTTCCCGCAAATTTTCTCTGTCGTGTGATAAACGGTTGACTCTCTACATCCCTCGGCCTAGTCTCCCGACTTTTTCGCTCATGTTTATTACCCCCTTATATTTTAAATGCCGGACGTCAACTGGTTATTTTTAAACCCCCCCCCCCCTTAACTAAAACCTCAATTCTGCTATTTGTTTTTAACTCGTTAACAAAATCTTGTCACAGCAGCAAACAAACCTAATTCGGAATAGTCACGTGACTGAGGACGTTATTACCTTAGATGTGATGTGGGAGGATATTTCATGGCAAATGTTTTCTTCTTGTGGACTGACATTCTTCTACGTATACTATAGTCAAAGTTGTAAAGCTTTTAAAGGATTCTGGGATAATTTTTTTATGATAATTATAATTTACTTTTATAATTATCATTTATTAGATAAATCCTCAACTACTGTACGCACATGAGTAAAACCACAAGACACCTTTTCAATGCTTTATTTAAATCAACAGTACCACCCTAATTTCACAACTACATTTAATTTCGTTACATCAAGTTTTCTCTTAATGGGACACGTCATCTTTGCAGTACCGTTAGGCTGTCAATAACTTAACTTTCAATCTGTTAAGGCTTAGGACGTCTGCTGGGCCGGACCTTCTTGCATATTTTCCGCAGTATTTTGCAAATCTTTTTCTAAGTGGGAGAGAAGATGAATTGGGTGAATTTTTTAATACCTCTGTGGTAGGATACTTCTAAAACTTTGTTGACTTTTTTTTAATCACATGTCATGATTTTCATTGATTGATGCTGGCTGTCTTTATCATTTGACGCTAATTTATGAGTGAAGATGAAAAAACTGAGGTATGATTACTTTATTGACAAAA